GTGTGTGTGTGTGTGTGTGGCCAGCTCAGCCCACCAGGGGGCGCGGCTGGCTGGCATGTGGTGCTGGGGGATTGAACCACAGTCCCTGTGCTTTGCTAAGCTTGTTCCAAGTATAGGTGCTTTAGACCACTGAACCATCTCACCAGCCCCTGTAAATGCAAATTTTAAAAGGATGGGGATGTAGCTCAGTGACAGAGCAGCCCTAGGTTCCATCTTGAGCACCAAAAGATAAACAGCCATCAATAACACAGCCAGGCCTTCCCTCAGGCTCCACAGACACATCTCACCGGGCTGGCTGGCGAGGGGCTCATGCTGGCTGGAAAGGGAAGAGGTGGGGATGAACAATGTGTTCGTTCCTCGTTTTCCCCATGTGGAATTCCAGGCAAAGGGGTCAGGGAGGATCAGCCCTGCCAGTGACCAGCTCTGCCAGTGACTGGCTGTGTGACCTTGGGCAAGTCATTTTGCTCTCTGGTGACCTGGGAAGTGAAGACAGGAAGGAGGCAGGGCGGGGAAGGGCACAGGGTGGGGGCCTGGGGGATGCATTTAGGAGACGCTGATTCAGGGGTTCAGCCGTGGCGACGGCAGGGTAGACACGCTGTTTGGACAGCTGCAAGTCCTTAACCAGGATTTCCCCCATTTTCAACAAATCCCCGTAAAACAGCCTTTCTTCCAACTCAGCGTTTCATGGCTGCCTGGCCTCCTCCCAGGCCGGCTGGGAGTGGATGCTCCAGGGTCTTTCAGACCATGAGGGCGAGTGGGGCGCAGCAGAAAGAAAGGCAGAAAGAAGCCCCCTCCCTGGAAGTGGTCAGCAGGAAGGGGCAGCACTGACAAGGACCCTTGTTCCCAGCAGCCCCTCTCTAAGGGTGCTGTCCCAGGGTGACCGGCAGAAGGCCCACGATGTCCTGTGGGACTGGAAGAAATGCTCACTCTCCATCCCATTTTGCAGCTGAGCTGTCAAGGACCAGACAAAAGCAGGGCATATGGAGGGAAAGTATCACACAGGTTCCCCAGGGACCAGGCAGGGGTGAGGCTGACAGGGCCCAGGAAGCCCCTTGAAGAGGTTGGGTGGAACCCACCTCTCAAGCATCCTGCCGCCACCCACCCAGCCAGGCAGCCAGCAGTGCAGTGGAGAGAACAGCAGGGAGGCTCGGGAGGCTCAGAGCCAGCCGGCCAAACCACAGGTATGTTATGAGACGCTTCCTGTTGTGGAGACATTTCTGTGGGATCCACTGCCCGCGGCTGCCCTGCTGCCTGGCTCCCCACTGCCCCTCTTCATCCCCTGCCCTCTCCCTGGTCTCCAGATCTGACTCTACTCTCTGCAGAGCCTCTGCACCTCACTGGCTACACAGCAGCTCTGGTTTGGGCTCTGGCTAAAAGGGGTCTGGCACTGGGGCCCTTAAAGCCTTCCCAGGACCAGGCAGCCCCTGGACTCCAGCACAGCTCTTCCCCAGCTGGGTGACACTGGGCCTCTGACTTAACTGCTCTGGATCTCATGCCCTCATCTGTAACAGAATCACTTGAGAATGCCTGTGTCACCAGCCCTCCCAGATGCGCTGCCCTGTCCTGCTCCTGACAGCCAAAGGTGCTCCCATCACACAGCCACAGAGCCTCCTACTACAAGCAGCACCTTCCTTTCACTCTTTCAAAGACAGGTGACTTGGCTACTGGGGGCTGAGACCTGGTGAAATGAATCTCTAAAGTCAAATTTCTGTGGGGTTTTTGAGACAGGATCTTGCTAGGTAGCCCAAGCTAGCCTCAAAACTTGAGGTTTATCAGCTTCTGAAATGCTGAGATTGCAGGCACTGACCATGCTTACGTTCTTTTTTTTTTTTTTAATGGTACCAAGGATAGAACTCAGGACCTTGTGCTTGCTGGGCAAGCACTTATTCCACCAAGCTATCTCCCTGGCTCCACCATGTTTAATTTTCATGCTTTTCTCTGATCAGTTCTGAGATGAAATAGACCAGGAGACACAGAGCCCCCTCGGGACTAGACTGGGCAGAGCAGCTGTCCCCTACCCCCAGGCGACATCGCGCTACCCCCAGCCAGGATTCCCATTCACGGCTCACCCACCTCTCCCAAGCCTTTCCCATCCTCCTTTCCTTTGCTTCTGTTGCGGCGGCTGCCTTTCCCATATCGGCATCGACACGTGCACACAGGCCAGGCCCTCTGCCTCTCCAGGGCCCCCCAGCCAGGCTTCTGGAAGGGACTATCCAAGCCCCTTGCTCCCCACAGTGCCCCACAGCCCTTGCACCCACTTGGCGCTGCCTAATGACCCGCTCTCCTTCCTTGTGGAATGGTTCCCTGGGGGACATCTCTCCGTCTGAGAATGCTTCGTAGCTCCTCTTTTCTCTCTGGCTGTTTCTCCTGCCAATCTCCTTCTAGCCAGAGCCCAGTACTCCCCAGCTCCCAGGGCACCAGCCACCCACCCCAAGGGCTGCTCAGACAGACTCGCCCTCAACATCAGCCAAGCATTCTCGCCTGGCTCCCCTCAGGCCCCTCGCCCAGTGGCTGCCATTTCCTTCTCATTACTTACTTTCCCAGCT